CATAACGCACATGGAAATTGTTGCAAGAATGTCCTGTGAAACAAGATAAAATGAAAAATTCCAACTCGGACTATAGCAATGAGACAACAACCTTTAGATCAACTTATTATCCCAGCTGCTTGTTCCTACCTCGTCTAAAATATATTTATCTGGCTAGCCACTAAGAACCCAGAAGGAAAAAGAAGATTAACTTACACAACCTTTGCAGTTTCTTTACTGAATCCTGATCTTATTTTGTCATCTTCTGTTGGGTATCTTCCAAAAACCGTTAACCAAAAGGCTGTTATCAAGCCCTCCCAGATTGTTTCCTGTGGTTTTTTTTTTACAAATTCCTTCACTGGTTTCGTTTCTTTGCTTCTTTCCCTTTTCTCCGTGATCTCCAACTTGCAGTGGTGCCCAAATATGTGACAAATTGAAGCACTTCTCCAGCCTGTTATCTTCATACTTGACAACATGGCAGCTAATTCTCAATATTGATTAGGGAGCATCTTCATCTCCAACAACTCCATGGTTAGGAAGGGCACCAACTTGACTTGCAGAAAGTGCTAGGTCCAACTCGAGTTTCAAAATGGGCAGAGAGTGGGAGAATGGGGGGAAAGCTTTAAAAGCAGGCTTTGTTTCTTTTGTAAGGAGATTGAGTCATGGCAACTGGGTTTCTTTTCTTTTTTTGTTTGAAACATTTTGCTGCTTATCCAAGTGTCCCAAAGAAACAACTGGACCTTCTTTGTTTTAACTCGAAGATGTTTCGCTTTTCATCCAAGAAGCTACTTCAATTCACTTCATTTGAGTACTGAAGAAACTTCTTGGACGAGAAGCGAAATATCTAAAAAAAAAATCCAGTTGGCTTTTGAAAAAGCACTTTTGGGACAACCATGACCTGGATGACTGAGAATCTCCACAGACATTTATCAAGGTAGCTTCCTCAGTCTAAGTATGTTGGTCAGGAGGAACCTCCAGGGCGGTGAATCTCATTAAGCGTGACCTCTCTGGTGAATCTCTGAAGAGGTCTTGGTCTTCTTGGAGCAGCATTAAAAAAAATAATGGAGGATAGGTTCTGTCTGGGGCTCCACCCCTATTGAGGGAAAGATTATTGAGAAAAGGATTTTCCACTGTAGCATAAATAGATTTCCTCATGCCTCTCTCAAACCATCTATTTTCCCTGTCCAAAATGTGAACATTATTGTCGTCAAAAGAGTGCCCTTTTTAACTGAAGGTATAATGCTGACTCTGATCCCGTGGGGTTACTTCTCCTGTGCTCCTGTGCAAAAGCTACTTGGATAGCTTCTTCACAGTTAAGAAGAAAAGACCACTAGTTGCCATGACTCAACTTCCAGACAACTCTATCTGTATAACTGAGCCTCTTCATCAACATTATAATCATAAGTTGAGGACTACCTGTACTTACGAGAATCTCTAGTATTAGGAATAGGAAGCGCTCTGGTCACTACAAAGTCAGAAGACCGCAAAATTGATGCAGTATCTACTGAAATATGGAAAGAAACAGAAGGGTGCAGCTTCCTACTGTCAAAGAAAGGAAATTTAACACAGTCTGCCAACTATTGTACAACATCCTTAATTTCACATACTAGCATAACTAGTCCTATCCGGGGTATTCTGGGAGTTGAAGTCCACACATGTTAAAATGACTAAGGTTAAGAAACATTGGTTTAGAACAGGGGTGTCAAATTTGTGGGCTGTGGGCTGGATGCATCACATGCTGGGCCACTCCCATTTTAGCAAAGAGAAGCTATGCTGATGTCACTGTTGGATAACTAAACATGCAAATAATTAGCAACTCTTGTAAGGAAAGTCGAAGAACTCAGTGGGAAAAAAATGGGACTAAGGTTAAATATAAAAAAGACCAAACTAATAACAACAAATATAGCAACCTATCTTAAAATAAATAGTGAAGATAGAGAAGGAGTGGAAAATCTCTTCCTTTTAGGATTAGTTATCAACAGTAAAGGAACCAGTAGCCAAGAAATGCATCAGAGACTAGTACTTGGTAGAATTGGATTAACGACCTTATAAAATAAATTCAGATGCTCCAATGCAATATTTCTCAACCTTGGCAACTTGAAGATGTGTCCAAGTTTCCAAAGTTGAGAAACAATGCATAATGAGTCTATATCAAAAACAGAATCATACAGATCATAGCTTTTCTTGTGATATTCTATGGAAGTGAAAATTGAATAGCAGGATACAATAGAAAGAATACTGATGCTTTTCAGTTTTGGTCAAAAGTTGGAGAAGACTCTTGCGCCTACAGTGGACAGAAAACAAGAAAACAAACAGATCATTGAACAAATCAACCCAAGTTTTCATTCAAGGCACATCTGACAAAGTTCGAATTATCCTGCTTCAGACACATTATGCCAAGACCTAGCTCTCTGGAGAAGCCTCAAGTGCTGAGAATGTTTGTGCACTTATCTAACATCTCCTGGCTAGGATCAATACTCAATAAATCTTACATCAAGCTCCAAATTTAGTTCCTCACCTCCCAATCCATTTTCAGGTTACTGCCTTAATTCCTCCAAGAAATTGGTTGACATGATTGCCCAACAGAGTTGACCCAGATTGCAATTATGTGTTGAAAAACTGAGTTTGACTGCTTCTAGTTTCAAGAAAACTCTTCACTGACTGAAACAAGATAAGATAAAGATGTAATGCAAGTAATAAGTGGGAAGAAAATGGGAAGGAAGATCCATAAAAATCCAAATATTCCCATTTCTGTTGACAATAAAATATTAAATAACTGGCACAGAGGAAAAAATAAATTACACATGAGCTAACAAAAGGCCAAGGATTACTTACATTCAAAAACTTGCAAAATTCAAAAGAAGGAGGTGCCCCCAAACTTCAAATTCTACTTTCATGCTAGTTGCCCAATCTGAATTCCAGAATGGATCGTATTTCCTTATCGTTCTATCACCTGAGTAAAAGAGGCTTTCCAGGGGTTACTTAAATAAATTTGGGTTATATTCATAGATGTAAACTATTTTCAACATGCAATGCATTCTATCCAGTCCTCAACTTATGACCACAATCGAGACCATAATTCCGTTGCTCAGCAAGACCGTTGTTAAGTGCATTTTGCCCCATTTTACAACCTCTTTTGCCAGTTGTTAAATGAATCATTGCAGTTCCATTAGTAACTCAACTGTTAAATAAATCTGGCTTTCCCATTGAATTTGTCAGTTCACAAAAGCTGATTATATGACCCTGGGATACAGCAACTGTTATAAATACACACTAAGTGCCAAATGTCCAAATTTTGATCATTGACCATCCATGAGGATCCTGCAACTTCATGTGAAAAACAGTCATAAATCCCTTTTTTCAGTGCTGTTTTAAGTTTAAATGGTGATTAAACAAATGGTTGCAAGTTGAGGGCTGCTCAATGCACTCTGGGGAGCTTACAACAGAGCGAACTAAATTAAAACAATCAAAAACATAAACAAAAGCAACTTAATGAAGGCTGTTCCAAGTCCCTCTTTCTTGCAAAGCAGGGACCCCGCCCTGTGCAATAAACATGCTTGCTTCTTTGCATGTGCCTTGCATTTAGAATTTTCTGTGACATTGCATGATTACATGGGTGCAAAATTAGAACACAGTATCTTTATAAAGCCTTGGTAAGATCACAGGTGGAATACTGCATCTGGCTTTGGTTGCCACAATGTTGGAAAGATGTTAGTGCTCTGGAAAGAGTACAGTGAAGAGCAACAAAGATGATTAGAGGACTGGATGCTAAAACATATAAAGAACATTTGCAGGAACTGGATATGGCTAGTCTAGAGAAAAGGACTAGAGCAGAGGTATCCAAACTTGGCAACTTTAAGACTTGTGGATTTCAATTCCCATAAGTCTCCAGCCAGCATAGCTGGCTGGTGCATTCCTGAAGCTGAAGTCCACAAGTCTTAAAGTTGCTACATTTGGGGACCTCTGGACTAGAGGGTGACATGATTGCAGTATTCCATGGGGCTGTCACAAAAAAGAGGGGGTCTCCAAGTACCTGAAGGCAGAACAAGATGGAAACTAATCAAGGAGAGAACTCAGAGCAGAATGGAGCCCATTAGATGGCTTGTATGAAGGTGTGTTGGCACCAGGGAGGGGTCGTATGGAGAATTATTATTTTATTATTTTTCTTTTGACAAGCAAAGTCAGTGGGGCAGGCCAGATTTGATTAATGATTGCATGATTCATATAACAACTCCAGCGATTCTTTTAATGACTGTGATAAAAGGTTGTAAAATAGAGCAAGACTCAATTATCTTGCTTAGCATTGGAAATTTTGGGCTCAAATGTGGTCGTAAGACTACCTTATGAGCTGTGGCGGTGCAATGGTTAGAATCCAGTACTGGAAGCTACTTCTGCTGACTGCAATTTGGCAGTTTGAGTCTTACTGGCTCAAGGTTAACTCAGCCTACCATCTTCCTGAGGTGGGTAAAATGAGGAGCCAGATTGTTGGGGGCAATAGGCTGACTTTATAAACCGCTTAGAGAGGGCTGTAAAGCGCCGTGAAGCGGTATATAAGTCCAAGTGCTATTGCTATCTGTAATTGGGTAAGTTTTATATAGCCCTTTAACCTCTCTCAATCCATCTACTCCAGAGTTGCTTAGTTTAGGCATCGGTACCTTTTAGTAGGGAAACAATACCCTGGAAATAACTTGTTAGTGGTGTAAGGATTATATGATTTTTTATTGGAAAAGATTTCTGGTGGCCTCTATGGAGCAATGATTAATCATTTTGAAACTTGCTGGGGGTTTCACCTCTTTGGCCAGCCTCAGCAGGCACAGAGTGTTGCAATTTGGGGGGGGGGGGGGGTACCACTGAAAAGTTCTATTTCTTGTAGTCACCAGGACACTAGGAAGAGCCTCTAAGCTGCTAGCCTTGTTCAGAGGAGGAGGAGGAGGAGGAGGAGGAGGAACCACCCTTAAGCTATGATAAGAGGAAGACGTGCAAGAGACGATAACAGCTTTTGAGACACATTACTTATGTTTCCTTGATGCGCTTCAGATGTACAGATGCAGAGCTGATGCTTGGTGAGCAATCAAGACTTGTGGTAAGACGGAAATCTCTTCCCTCTGCTAACTCCTTGCCCCTGCCGGTTTGAATCCCACACCTGGAAACCTGGGATTGGTTCTCTGGGTGCTGTGGCTCATCTCCACCTGCAATTTCATTTGTCCATTTCTGGTCCCTCTGCTCAATCTCTTCCCTGTTTATACGAGGGTTTGCATTTCTCTGTACTTGCGAATGACTCACCTTCTGAATTTGCGGCTCTGAGAAACACAGGAAGTTGGCCAAAATGAACAAATGATTTGGGTTTTGTGTCACTTTTATGCAGTTGCCTAACTTTTTTGTTTTTGGACAGAAAAGGTGAGGCACAGCCATTTCTAGGGCCTGCTCAGAGGTACGCTTTCATCCTTTGGATAGATCGAGAGAGGGCAAAATAAGAAAAGAAAAAAAGACGGAACTTACTTTTTTCAACCCAAAATACTTTATCCAAGTCATCGGCCTCAGATTGGTCCCACAGAGCTAATGCTACAGAAATGGGTGGAATTGACATGTTTGCCACCACTCAAAGCCACTTCCTCTATGAATATAACGTTTGCTTCTTCTTTTTCTACATTTTCCAGCAGCGCCACCTGCTCAGTTTCATTCACTTCTTCCTGCCCAATCAAGCGAGAACGGGGGAAACAGAGGCAGCTGATGGTTAGTAGAGAAGAACTGTTCCTTGAAAACCCCAGGACCTATCCTGAGCTTGTCTGAAGAAACCTAGAAGAAGGTATAGCAGATGGGTTGGTGGGGCAGCAGGTGTGGGTGGGATGCACCTTATTTATTCAGTCTCCACAAAATGGTTTGTGTGTGGGAAATATCAGTAGGAAATTGTTTCAGGGAGTCAAGATAAAGGAGGTGAGCATATTAGACTGAGTACGGTTTTGTTGTACTTCAATCAAATGCTTGATCGCCAAATGTAGTTGGATATCTATGCCTCAATTTTTTGATTCGCAACAACACTGCAAAGTGTATTAGGGTTCTGATCTGGAAGAGTGGATGATGTGGAATGTAAGGATCAACCAAGGGAGGTTTTCCTCCAATTAACTGGGCTCTGAGTCCCATCATCTAGACCAGGCTGACACAGTCTGGAGAACACTAGTTTGAGGGCAAAATTTCCCCACATCATATCGAAAAGAGGAGAAGTTAGTGGGTTGAGAAAAAAATTTGAAAAGGGAAGACAGCATAAGCCACACTTTTGATCTCTCTTAATCCTCCAGAAATCAGCTTCATTAGAAGAGAAGCTGAGTCAAGGTCAAAATGAATGTGTTGGCCAGAACACATGGTGTATGGTAGGGAGGTGGAAATAGAGATGGCGTTTGACTTCACAAAGTAAATACTTTTGGACTGATAAGTGCTATCATCCAGACCATCTTACAGATCATTTCTCTGTTCTTCATCTGGTAGTGATCTTGAGCCTTTGGCAGATGTATCCCCTGCCCAAATCCTAACCCTAAAACTCACTAATGATTGTGCAGTGAATTGCGCATCTGATGGGGTTTGGGTTTCCATGCAGCAAAGAGCACCACAAGGAAGGCGTCAACCCACGATAGTGTTTATAACGATTTCCTCACCTCGAGTCTTTCAGCAAGACTAGATTTTTACTTGAATCATTTCCGGCCAGCCATGCCACAGTAACACCGCTAGATTCTCTCTGCCAAGATAGAGAGCTAAGGACATAGCTCTGCCTGTTGCATGTGAAAAAAAAATGGAGCAGTTAATACTGAAATAGACATTATCAACGGCTTTCCTTAAAAACTCTGACAGCTGAGCTCACTTACTTTAGTGGGACTGATTATCTTGCTTCTCTGAGTTTTTGATTTCCTTATGCAATGTTTCCCAACCTCCACTAGTTTATGAGATGTGGACTTCAATTCCCAGCATGCTGGCTGGGGGATTCTGGGACTTGGAAGTTCATAGATCTTTTAGTTGTTGAGTTTGAGAAACATCCTAATTGTCTGCATTTCCTCACAAGACTTGTACTTTTCAAGCTTGAAATCCCGATTACTCTGGATCCCAGCTTTTATTGATGGAACAGCTCCAGTTGGGTCACCTAGCATCTTCCCTGTTGATCAAGAACCGTGCCACAATATGATGGCCTAACCCGTCACCCTGTCATCAAATCTAAGTTGCAGAAGTAACAATGCCCCCCACCCCCGGCTCCTGGGGCTTGTAGGACATCCCTTCTGTTGAGCAAGTCAAGCTAGTTCTCAAACCTGACATTTAAAACAAGTGGTGATGTCTGCAGAGATTCTCGGTCATCCAGGCCATGGTTATCCCAAAGGTGCTTTTCCAGGTTGCTACTGGACTTTCTGGTTTTACTTTGAAGATGTTTCGCTCCCCATCCAAGAGGCTTCTTCAGCTCTGACTGGATGGTGGGAGAATGCAAGGATTTATATTCCTTGCAAGAAAAAGTACTGGCCTTGATGCAAATGCTAGTCTTGCACGGTTTAGAGGAGTTATCAAAAGCTTTTCTTCTTCACAACACAATATTTTATTTTAGAAACGGTCTAAGTGCTCCAGATATGTTGTTTCTGTGCTAGATTTGTCTTTCATTAACCAAACACACTTGTCTTATTTAACTTTAATGATCTATTGCTATCAAAACAGCACTCTGGCATGGCATGTATTGCGAGGTGCGATTATGGAGTTTTTTTAATGACCGTGATAAAAGTGGGGAGGCGGGACATAAAAAGGCATCAGTAACCATCCAGGCTGGGATCTTGGGAGGGAGGGCGGAACGGGCGACAACTCCCGTCTGATGATGAGCAAATTTGAAGTATAATACTTAATATTTCTTTTAAAATATTTAAACTCCCACTTCGACAGATGTCTTAGAAATAGACAGATGTCTTTTCAACATACTAGGAGCAAGCAAAGAGGAGAATGTCTTGAGAAAGATAAACAGTTGCAACACTAGAAAGTTGCTTTTAAGTTTTTGTTTCCTTGTAATCTTGCCAAACATCTTTATTAGGTGTATGAACAATTGAAAGTTTGCACTCCCCTAGTTTTTAATTAAGTTGAAGATTTCCTGTGGATTTATTTTTTGGCCCAGCTTTCTATTGTACTTGCTTAAAACAAATTTCTCCTTCTCTTTCCCCCTATCCTTCTCCCTTTCTCTCTCCCCTCTCCCTCTCTCTCCCCTCCCCCTTCTCTCCCCCTCCCTCTCTCCTCTCCCTCCCTCTCCTCTCCCTCCCTCTCCCCCCGAACCCCTGAATTTTCATTCCGTTGTGTTGAGTGTGGTGCTGGTAGGAAATTTTCCACCCTGCCAAACAGCCAGAAGACCTGCAGGTCTGCCTTCAGGCTGACAAGCGCATGGTGCTATCATCTCTTTTTTCCTCCTTCAACTTCTCCTCCAACAGGAGACTCTACTGGGAAGGTGAAGGAAATGCTAGTTCAAACGGGTGAGCAACATGCACCTGTGGTTGAAAAACTCACATGTTTTATGCTGGGTTTGGTCTCCTGGAAGCTAATAGCACCAAGGAAGTTCTATAGGGCGTCCAGTCTCCCTGGCAGTCACTTTTGGGAGATTCTTTACCATTTTATACTCATCCATTACTATCTTCCCTACCAGACTTTCCTTCCATGGTTCTGTCACAAAGCCAAGCCCCTTCTATGCGGCTGGGAGAATATTGCACAATAGACAGAGGACTCTACACTCACTTTGTAGCAACGAATTGCTTCCAAGTGTTGTTTGTGCTGGCTTGAATAAGCAAGTCTTGGTTTTTTTTCAGACCTGTCGTTATGATTGTCAGCCATTCGGCTGTGTCCAACCCTTGACCACTCTACGGCTCAGCAATCTCCACGTCCCTCTGTCTTGCACCGCCTCCTTCAGATCCACCGTGGTCATCCCAGTATCATACTTTATAGTGTCCCAACCAGTGGCACTAGGGTAGCTCCTTTACCTTTTTCCACTGGTCACTCTCAGCATGGCTGACTTTTCGAGTGAGTCAGCTCGATGAAATTACAAGAGCCTCTGTTTGGTGATCTTGGCTTCAAATGATATTTTTGGTGAGGTGTGGGCTAAGGGGTGTCAAACTCGATTTCACTGAGGGTTGTGTTTGTCTTTGAGGAGCTGGAGAGGGGGGCTGGCCAGGGGAGCGTAGCCCACTTGATGTCACTCATTGAGTCTCTGTTTTCGGCCTGATGGCCTCCTGGAGCCCTCTGCCAGCGGAGGCCACCCTGGGCTCCGTTTTCGCTGGCAGAGGGTTCCAGGAAGCCACTGTGGCTGAAGACAGAGCTTGCACTGCCCTCCCAAGCTCTATTTTCACTGCAGAGGCACTGCGAGCCAGTCTGGCCAGAATCTAAGCAACCCACAGCTGAATCCGGCTTACAGGCCTCAAGTTTGACACCCTGGGCTACGACTTCTTTGCTTGTTATTTTTGTACTCCATGGGATACGTAATAGTTGTTTCCTAAAGAGCAGGAAAAAAAGACTTCAAACCACAGGATCATTTGTCTGTGGAGATTCTCAATCACCAAGATCATGGCTGGCTCAAAAGTACTTTTTTTTTTTTCCTAAAACGCAACTGGATTTTCTTCTTGTTGTTGTTTTTTCCCTTTGAAAACATTTCACTTCTCATCCAAGAAGCTTCTTCAGTTCTAATTGACCAGTGGAGAATGGAAGGGTCAACTTTCTGAGATTATTCTGTTCCCTTTGTTCATTCATTAATGAACATAAGCAGTCACTGCTTTCATCTTCCGTAAGTGAGTTGTAGATAATTAAAAAGAAACTTCTTTTTTTTAAAAAAAAGCTTGCATTCTTGTTCAAGGGAAACAACTGGAAAATTACACAGGAATTGTGGTGGAATGTAATTTGGAATTACAGGAGGGAGAGAGCAAAGACATCAAGAAACTTGGAGTCTTTGGTATACAGAAAGAAGTGAGAAGGCAGACCCTCCCTAGCAATTCACAGAGAATATCTACAGTAGTAGTTATGCAAGTAGTTGCTTTAGTCTGGCAAGATTTTGGTCGATATATAAGGAGATTCTCAGTCATCCAGGTCATGGTTGTCTCAAACGTGCTTTTCAAAAGCACCGTTTTTTTCTTTCTTGAGGAAGAAATATTTTTCCCTTAAAGAAAGAAACCTCTTCTTACATCTTCTTCTTCAAGGAAAAAATATTTATTCCTCAAAAAGAAGCATAATCCAGTTGCCTTTTGGGGAAAAAAAAGCTCATTTGAAAAATTTCTATCAATAGCTCAACACAATAAAGCAGGGATATCAAACTTGATTTCATTAAGGGCCGCATCAGAGTTGTGTTCAGGGGTGGGATTCAAATTTTTTAACAACTGTTTCTGTGGGCATGGCTAGGTGGGTGTGGCCAGGAGGACATGATCATGTGACTGGGTGGGTGTGGCTTTTTTTTCAGGGGGGAGCTCATTTTTTTTCACCTCCTGGGTCTCCTGGGTCTCAGGGAAGCCTCCGGGAGGGGGAGGGGGGGCAGGAAGGCAAATAACAGAGCACCGGGCTGGGGTGGCACAGCTCCCTCCCCCAACCGCATGTCCCTTTTTGCCTTCCTGGGCCTCAGGGAAGCTTCCTGGGTGAAGCAGTAAGACAGCGAGGGGGATCCCGGAACAGCCGATCGTCGGAACAGCTGATTGTTGGGAGGAGGAAAAAGAAAAAAGAAATACCTTAAGGAGTGACTGTGTGGGGGAGAATATAGTCAGCGATGTCATGCCTGCATGATAAAGACTGACTGGGAGGGGAGGGGTGGGCAGAGAACGGCGGGGCCAGCCAGGGCCACAATTTTCTGGTTCTCTGAACTGCGCAGAATCATAACAACCGTTCTATAGAACAGGTCCAAACTGGTAGAATCCCATTCCTGGTTGTGTTTGACATGTGGGGGTGGCATGGGGCCCTGGCCTCTAAGCACTCTGTGGGTCAGATCCAGCCTGTGAGCCTTGAGTTTGACACCCATGCAGTAAGGAAATAATTCAATTTTTCGTTCTTGGTTCCTTTGGCCTTGCACGTACTCATTTTGTGCCTACTCTTGAGGCAAAGGAACCAAATGTTTTTTTAAAACCCTCTTTCTTTCTAAAAAATAACATATTTTTAACCTGTTTACCATGTGTGTTAGCCCTGGCTTCCAGCTGAAGTCATCTCTGAGTGGAGGATATTTTCTTGCCAAACTTCATTATTTCCTCACACTTTACATAAGGCAAATATAAACTATATCTGCTATTGCCACCTAGTGGTCAAAAGACAAAACATTCTTTTAGGAAAGGGGAATGTTGCATCTCTGGACTTTTAGTCACATGGTTGCAGGTTGGTTGTCAGATAGAGAGTGACATGAATAGGGACTAAACACCAAGCAATGCTCCATTTTACATGTGTAACCACTGGTGACTAATTATATTGGCTTTATAAAGCTTAGTTCTGCATCCCTTGTCACATTCAGAATAAGAGAATTCAGAAGCGTTCCTGAAGAACTCACAATTCACAGAGACCTGTCGATGGTTCACATCTCCTGTCCTTTGCTTTATTTATTACATATTATTATGTAAGCAATTGAACCTGGACAATACACTGTTCATAAAGTACTTATGTATGTTAAGGAAAATGTATAAATAAATTATTTTTTAAAAAAGAATCCTTGGGTAGAGTCCTAGCTTTCAAGTCACTCTATAGTTTTGCTCCTCTGTCTTAAGCATACAAATTCCTGGAAATTTCTCTTACAACTTGTCATGTTTTTGTTCCCAGGTTTTTCTTAGCCTTTACGTATTCCATACCAAGAAGGCCTAGGCTCTGGAATTCTGCTGCCATGGAAAAATCAAGATCCCTGATCCGGCAAGTAATTGGCCACAAGATACTCTTTGTTGTCTTCCTACTTTTCCTCACAGATATTCTTGTAGAGGTTGTTGCCATGGCAAATCTGACCACCACCGTAAAGATAAGAGATAATTTAAATATAACTGGCTCACCTTTTCCAGCATCTTCTCAGATAACTGAGGAGAGTTTTACGACATCTGTTATAAAAGCACCTCCTGATGCTACCACGCCTGGCACTCTCAACAGAAGTTTGAGCACTCCAGGGCAATCGGCACTGTCCCTCAATGCAGCACCTCCAGTCTCCGAACAGGAACTGCGATCTGCCACGGCCGTGACCACCGTGACCGTCCCAGAAGACACTTCCTCCCCTATGCGAAATAAAGGCATTGCCTCTACCAAAGAAAAACACACTGAGACTGGCAGTCACTATATGTCTGGTCCAACGCCACCAAATCAA